AAAACCCGTTTAGTATTTTATTCAAAAGTAGTATTTTCATATGAATAAAAAACTGAAATTAGTCCGTTTTGAGAGAAAGAAAAAACATCACTTATAACAGCTACTGGAACCTAAAATAACTTTTTATAATTAAAAATAACACAACATGTATGAATTAAATAGTGCTTTGCTTAGAATTTCATTAACTTTAAAAATGTAAACATTTATATTTACTACTTAAAGTTTATAATAAAGGATTTATAATTACAACACAGTTAGCAAATACCGTAGATGTATTTAAATATTAAGGGAAGTATTTTCATACTTCATTATAATTTTTAATAATACGTCTTACAAGGCCAATAGAAAACAAAATGAATCGTCAATAACGTAAAACGAAAAAAAACTAAATGAAAATCTTATGTGAATATTTCTTTCTAGGACAGTAGTTAATATTTCATTTTAATAATACTTTTATAAAAACTAATAAATGGATGTATTAAAATGTACTTGTTTACTTAACACATTTATTAAATAAACCATTGAACGCAATAACGATTTAACAGAAAAATAAAATATATTTTTTTACAACATTAAATTTTATTATGGAGACTAAAAATGTATTCGATTTATAACGACACATTTATTTTGAAATAACCCACTGGATAAGAAAATTTTAGATAGTTCCAGTTTCCTAATTGTCTATCACTGAGATATAGCAAATGGTTTATAATTTCGTAAAATATAACTATTGCTAGAGAATATAGAGAAGTTGAAAAAAGATATATAATCAACACTCAACGATGTCATTAAAAGTGATATCGCGATGGTATCATCCGTGCACTGACTACGTATATACATTAACGTTAAGCTTTCAAGTCTTTTTTCCGTGTCAGGAATTCGATATATGAGGCTGGTATTATTATTCCATAAGTACCTATTCAACATTCTCTATCACCAAACAAAAATTGTTAAAAAAATATCTACGATTACAATAGCCGACTAGAAAACTTGTTCTTATTCTCACATTATTACATTATTGTAATAAGCAGTAAAAATGTACGTACATTTCTCCCCCCCCCCTTTGTCAATAAACCTTACAACAATGTGATTAGATTAACATACGTATAATAATTTAGCAGCTTAACTATAAAAATAAATTAGGAAACTAGAAGAATTGATGAAATTGATAATGATATAAATTATAGGAATGGAGCAAAATTTGAAGGAAGATTAGAGTCGGGAATGATACAACTAAAGGAAAATAAGAATCAAAGTATGAATTTTCTGCTAGAAAGAAGGGAAAGAAAGTTAAAAATTATGTGGTCGTAATTTCAGTTATTAATCTTGTATGATCCAGTACAGAATGGGAAAAAAATTAAGAAACATCTTGGAAAAAGTGGTAGGGATGTAGACTGTGCCCAATATGGAGATGGGTAAAGTCACTATAAGATGCCTAGAAATTTTAAGATTACTGAACTACGTATGTTTTAAGATTACAGGGTCAATATATTTATGCCAAATTGAGGAATTGATTTGATGATCAAGGAAGAAAGGGAATATTTGAACGAATCTGAGGAAATAATTAGGAGGCATGATTGTGAGTTGGAACTTATGAGGTAGTTTTAGAATCGAGATTAATTAAAGAGCATTTATTATAATGTAACAATCAACGGTAAAGGATAACATGAGGAAATTTAATTTTTCAGAAAAAAAATATTCAGAGTAGGAATAAAGAAGAAGAAGCCAGCTGAGGTAGTTGAAACAAAACCATCAGTGAAGACTAATAGGAAATATAAGAAGTTGAGAAGTAAACAATAAATCAACGAGGAAATTTTGGATGTGAGATAGTTTATTGGGGTAGTTATCAAGAAAATAAGGAGAAACGGCAAATTCAGGGATATGAATTAATAGAAGATATGAAGTATCGTAAAATTGTAACCGAAGACATGAGCAATAAATCGATGGAATGAAAGCCAAAAAGGAATAAATGACTTAGGCTAAGATTAAAGCGTATGAGGCATAAAAGTTCAAGAAGTTTTGATGGACACAGTATTCAAGAAAGATTGATTAGGTGAAGATAAGCATTTTAGTAGATGTTTCCCTGCAAGACATGGATTACTTATTCCGATTGGAGAATAAATAAATTTCGTTTCTAAACTAGCTAAATGAGATGAATTCAAGGCACCGATGATGGTACGAAGAAAATATGCCGGGTGAGTGAGAGAAACCTAAACAAAAAATAAAAATATATCATCAATGTTAGCTCTGATAACTGCGTTAAAGATTTTAAGGAGAAAAGATGGGTGTAGCCCTTAACTAGAGCCAGCTGCAACGTGGAGAAATTTGGACCAATGATGGATTACACCTTTAAGAAATTTAAAATGTGTAACCCATCTCAATTTAGGATCGAATTTAAAACCAAGGTAAGTGACCCAGGATAAAGGTAATATAAGTTGTTTAGCAATTAAGATATGAGGATAAATCTTTATTTTTCTGCGAATGAAAATTATATAATGGCTTTAATCTGGATTGATGAAGAACGCGATAGAAGGTTTAGATGAGAGCTAACTGAGAGCATTGTAGCGATAGAGCTTTCGAGGAATTTTGTTAAAAAAAATATATCTATATCATTCGCATATAGAAAGACTTTGAAACCCGGATAAATTAAGGAAAGGCATATAAAGGAAATATATTTATACTATGATTCACGAATCTCATTAAAAGGAAATTAGGAGAGAGTCTAGAAATATCGGTTGATAAGGGGGTGGTTTATGGAACCCCAGAATTGAGCAGATTCCATATGAAAGTTATTTATAGAAGTATGCATAGAATCACTATGGTACTTTTGATTGTTTTTGTAGTCCCAGGAAGGATGGTGACCATTTAATTCATCCCCTAAAATTAAATTGGGTAAAAAAGCTGAAATATACTGTTGAACACTGCAATAGAAGGGTCGGAGGAAGGAAAAATGAATAAATACCTTAAATTAAAGGAGTATTCGGTGTTACATAAAGCCTGAATACATACTAAATCGATGAATGGTATAGTCATTAACTATTAATTTAATTAAATAATATTATAATACATTATGTATATCGTATGACATCAGATAAAATAATTTTCAATTTTATTTTGAAGAAGGTAAGAATAAACATCAAATAAATTAATGGTATAGCGATAGCCCGACTTCATCGATAAAACTCATTCATCTGTCATTTATCTATAAATTATATAGAGTAAAATTAAGCCGAGATATAATTAGCGTGAAAACTGTCAGGGTCAAATATTGCACTATTTCCTTTTTCTGTACCATCTATATTATTGCTTCTAATAAAAATTAAATATTACCAAGATACTTAAAAAAATATAAATTTTATTTATGCAGTTATAAAAGTACTTCTACCATAACATTTATTAAGTAATTTTAACTTTTTTTTTTTTTTTTTATTTTCGATCAACAAAACTAATATGGGCCACGAAAAATATATGATAAGAAAAGTAGATCGTAAGTCAAAAAGGTAAAGATCACTGTATGTTGTCAATGGGAATATCTCTGATACGTATAGAATGATAGACAACTATGGCAATCCTTTCGTAACCTATACTCTGTTGGATCATATGAATTATAAGATGATTGGGTAAACTTGCCGGACCGTCCTATAAACGTCCGACTAAAGGAGGATGAAACAATAATAATTGTAGTCCAATGACGACAGCAAGCCGAAACCGATACGGGTGGCGTTCAAGGTCACACAGTGTGGTGATTATCGTGACGGTGGATTTAATAAATATTTTTGCCCAGTTAATTAATATTCAACTAAATAAGATAAGCGAGTGGGCACAAACGACGTGCTTGCCTGTCGACTGTATAATCTCGACTGAACGTAAACTTTTACGAATAACTTTTATTGATGAACCTTGTAAAATCTCCACTACAGTAGCGTATGGAGACCATTCATGAGATTAAGGTTCACTGAATAACTAACTAGCAAGTAAAAATAAATGAATCATATAAATTCTATATAATGGTTAATAAATTATGTGTGAACTCAATGGTTTTCTGTAGTTGGATTTAAATTACCAATATAATAATTTATTAAAATAAAATATTTACTCAATTATTAATGAAATGTGCAAAACTGCTAATTTTATGAACATGAAACTACTTTATTACTTTTACAATTATTCGCCATAAATTTACATTTAAAGAATAAAAATGTTTGAAAGAAGCCATTTTTTTTGGTCAATAAAAAACTAACATTTGTGTGTAAGTAAAAAAAAATATTGAAAAACTGAGTTCATAATAAAGCAATATTACACATTACACATAAGTACAGTTTTCCATGAATTTTCCTTTCATAAATATTTTATTATAAATCATAAACAGTTTATGACATTTTTTGCATGCCTACGTTTTTTAACCTTTTTAGAAAATGCAAATGAAGTATTATTTCTATATATTAGTTTTATGTGGAACATTAATATTAAATGGGTTTTTTTCTTTAGATGCAAGCATGTCATGCGGATTCAATCTCGAACTGTTTAGTTTTACAGCAGCGAAAAGAAAAAGACTGTAGAGATTCTACACTATAAATTTTAGTTTCTAACTTACCTTGGATAATCTGGGATAAAAATAAACTGTAGAGAATTTGACATTTTTCCCTAAACCTCTGTGGGTTCGAGAGACGACGTTCCGGGATATTAAACCATTTCACGGATGTGCTAACTCTAAGTTTATGGCTAAAAGTTTTATCCCTTAATTTCCTTATTTTTATTGTTAATTAGATAATAAAATTTTAATATTCATTTTCAAAAACTGTTCACTAATTACAAATGATCTGCTTAAATTACGAACGATTAACAATCTGAAACCTAGCATATTGATTATAATATTCCGTACAGTGAACAATTGTTATAATTAACTTCCTTTCATATAATACGCGATCTACGATTTTAATTGAATATATATAATATAATACATACAAATTTGCATAATTATTATTTCATTTTGATTTTAGTATGGCAGAGCTCCTATTCATTGGGCATCTTCTCGAGGAAATACTGAAATTATGGAAATGTTGATAAATGCAAAATGTGATATTGAAGCCAAAGATAAAGTAATTACATACATACATATATAAAACTAAATAAATTGTATCAAGGCTCATAAAATATTGTTAGTTTGTAACACATATTGTAATCATTATAAAAATAATTAATTATAATTATAATTAATTAAAACAAATTTTATATTTTCATAAATGAATACTCATACCAAACAAATATTAAATATATTAATGTAAAATTAACTTGAGCATTGTAAAATATTTTTACAAAATATATATATACATAAAACCTATTAAGTATTTTTTTTTTAAATTATAACATTTCCAAATTACAATTTCTATATATATTTGTTAAACTATTTTGTTTTTCGTCTTTTCGTCTTCAAAATAGGTATAATGACTCAAAAAATAATGAAATTATAACAATTTAATAATATTTTCCCCTGAAATGATAAACGAAGCTATTAAAATTACTTAATCTCTAATATCATAATATGTCCACTGAATATTTTAACTACATTTTGCGATTGCGAAAAGCAACATTTTTGGATTGAAACTTTTTATATTTTGCATTCAGTTTCAAACACTAACATTTAATTTGAAACGTGTTACAAATAAAATAAATTATAATGGTATACTAAAACCTCTACAAGCAACGAATTATTTAAATTACCGTAGCTATTTGGGTATTAATCATTAACAATGTAATTATTTTAAGTTCATAATTATTCAAAAAAAAATTGTAATTTTAATTTCTACTCTATTTTTTAATGTATTTTTTTTTAACCATACACCATAATACAAAGTGTCAATGATTTATGAAAGTATACAAAGAAAAAAGTTTAAGTGGCTAGGTATATAATATTTAGGGTTTATTGTGAAAATAATAAATTTTACTTAAACAATATAAAAATTATTAATAATAACTTCTCATCGATTTAAAATATTAATTAAATTGGAATAAAAAAAAATCAAATTTATTGGCTGTTCTCAACAGTTCTTTTTATGCGTTTATTCCAATTGATTTAATTATCGATAAAACTTCAAATCAAACTTTATTACACATGTATACGATTTAATAAAATATTAATTCGACATATTTCAGTACGGAATGCGTCCGATTTTAATGGCAGCGTGGCATGGTCACACGGATGCTGTCCAGATGCTGATTAACTATGGAGCCAGTGTAAATACAATAAATAAGGTGAGTTTAAATAACTTGTTGACTAAAATACTGTCAACATTTGATGTATTCTTTAGGTTGTCACGAATTGAAAAATGTGCATTCTAATAAATATTTTTTTACAATGTAATATCTTTTTCGAGTGTATTCAAAATTGAATTTTTAAGTCTATGCATTTAAAGTTACAATATATTAAAGTACAATATCATCCACCGCCATCCCTTCAGGCTACTCTAGTTTTAATATTCGATTCTTATTTATTTTGTATACAATGTGTAATAATTTTATTCGTTTTCCGAATCGACTTTACTTCGCTTAGTGAGGTTATTTTTAATCACGATTCATTGTCGTGACAAATTCAATTTTATAATATTTTCAAACGTAAATATGGTACTTACCATTGATAAAAAAAAAATTTACATTTCATATAAAACTTGATGTTCCCATTTCATTTTATTTTCAAATATTTAAGTTTCAATACTAAAAATGTAAAATAATTTATATTATTATTATGAGCTTCTTTTTTTAATTTTTTTTTTTTTTTTTTTACTGATAATGTACCTAGATGATTGACGTAGTAAGTGATTGATGAAATCGTATTAAAAATATTTTAAAAAAAATATTTAAAAATTCTCTACCTTAGAATCTGATGGGAAAAATTGTTTTAATTTTAAATACACAAATACAGAAATTTACAAAAACGTATTAAATACACAATTTCATTTATGTATTATGTTTAACAATTACAACATTTTATAAAATACGAATCGGAATAAGTTAAAGAATATGATTATTATTGAATAACCATCCTTTACTTATTAGAAATGAGTACAGTTGACTTACAAAGAGTACGATACATATTTAAGATTGCAAGATTATTAATTTTTTAATCTTTATTTTATTAAACATTAATATTTATTTAACCAATGCTTAATGACCAAAAAAGTAAAAATGAATTATAAAAAAAGAATTTAAAAATACACAATAACTTTTTAATAAAAATCGTTCATCGTAATAATAAATCGATTTTTATTATTGTATCCTCCCCCTTGTCATATTACAGATATTATAAATTTTAATCAGAATTCACAAGAATTTAATAACTATGATAGTTATAACACTATTGACGAACATTTTTCATAAACGAAAAACCTTGAAATGGTTGTTCGAAAACGTCCCATTAGAAGAAACATAATATTGTAAATAATATATCATCAACAAATTCCATTATCCGTGATTTGTGGATGTAAATTGTATAAAGATCGAAGACATCATAATAATATTCTTATCTCTTTATGTACTTCTTATTCCATTATATAAATATGTATTCAAGCATATTTAATCCAGTTATAATTGTTTAACCAAGGAGTAAATTTATTGAAAGTATAAAAAATATTTATACAAAGTAATTTCTTTATAATAAAGTTAACATGGTGAATATTTTAAAAATACACAATAAAATTTTAATCAAAAATAATTTGAGTATTTTAAAAATGTATAAACATAATTAGATTTAGAAAAATTAGATTATTTTTTTAATTTTATTTCAAAATTATATTTATTTGTTTTTAACTTTTATAAAATATTACTTCTACATATAATTGTTTTTAAGCAATTTATTTAAAATGACATTTTATTCAAAAATAATGTATGCACTTATATATGTTTAAAATATGCTGAAGATCAATTTTTGAAACTTAAAGTTTTCTAACATTTTCAACAAAACATATTTTTTTACCATAAAATTATATCAAATCACATTGTTTTTTTTTTTTTAATTCATGATCTATCATCACTCTAATATTTTAAATGTTTTCTCACTTTTAAAATAACTAGAATAACAATGGATCTTTCTTTAGGTATAAAACGATTTTTTAATTGTATTTCTTTTTAAAAAAATATGAAATTTTTTATAATAAAAAATGTATGTATAGCACCATTCATGATATCAAAGAAACTCATTAGTTGTTCGTGTTGATTATTATTTATGAAATAGAGCTAGAAATAGTTTTTTTTTTTATTAATTTATTTCTTAATACCACTATTCTATTATTTTTTCTGATAATGACCAATAATAATAAATAATAAATAATAAATAATGAACAACATGTATTTATATACAATTATAAACGCAATTTTCAATAAATTATAAAAACTTATCACTAATTTTCGACGAAGTTATACAAATAATACAAAGTGGATTCCGTCTTATTTATCCTCTAGGGCACAGGTAACTTATATAGTTGTGTTTTAGTGTTTATAGTTCTATAAAAGTCGATTATGAAGCACTCGAGAAAATAATAGGTATATAAGAAGACTAATTGTTTTAATTTATTTTATCCTGTTTCTTTTATTTAAAACAAAAAATAATTAAATACTAAGTGCTGGTTACACAATGATTTTAATACACATAGGTAATGACTTCGGTGATTTAATTCAACTTAACTCTAATGACATGTTCAATTATAACCAGAAATTGGGTTTATTGTTTTGGTAAGAACGAAATTCAAATCGATACTGATTAGTGGTTTTTTTACCACAAACAAAGAAAAATCTACTAACATCTATTAAAATAAATGTATTGAATGTATTCTCGATAATTATATAAAAATATTTTGTTTTGTATATAAAATAACTAGAATAGTATGCACTTATTTATTATGTCTTATAATAACTTAATATCCGATATAGATTTTTTTTTTGTAAACCGATTATGTCGCATCAAAATTATTTTTGGTTTAGTTTTTTTAAAGTGAATAATATATATAGTAGAATCTCAATAATCCGAACACAGGCTAATCCGAAATAAGCGGAATCCGAACGAGCTTGAAAAATATCGCTTCGCTATATTAATATATATGTATGTTTATCATAATCAGGGCTCGTGACTTATAGCTCTAAAAAAAGTTGTTATAAGTGCAATGATATGCTCTTAAAAACATTTATATTAGTGCTTAAATATGCGCTAAAAATATTAAAATATGCAAAAAAAAATAAGTTTAAGAAAATGACAAAAATTAATTACTATCTACATAATTATTATCAATTTATTAATTTAGTTTAAAATTTTATATATTACAAGTCTTTTTAATTTTTGCAGTATACTTTATCACTCGTTACAAATATCATCGATGTGGAAAATCATACCTCATCTTTGGTTATTTTATAAAAAATTAAAACCTATAGTTTATTTAGCCTATTTAAATAAACATGATTTTTAAATTTTTACCTTGAAAATTACATTGTATGATTAGATGTTTACTCAAGTTTTCGAATTTGAATGACTTTCGATTATTGCTGAGTAAAGTCTTGTACACTAAAAATCATCGCTTGACATCTACAGATATTATTGATGCGTGCTTAAAGTAAACGAGATCATCCGTTAATAGGTCTTCAGGTAGTCTAAATTCAAGTTCAGTGTTTCTTTGATGGCTCGACAATACATTTGAAATATTTTTTAAAATTTTGAGGTCGATATTCTTACTGACGACATTTTTAAATTTAGTTAAAATAGCTTTTCCAATTGACCCTTGAAGATTTTCAAATGCTCTTTCTAAATTTTCAAATATATTTAGAGCATCAGCTAAAGATGGTTTTTTTTCTTGTAGCTTGGTAATAGAAACGGTCAATATTGAAAAATTTGATTTTATGTAAGCTAAGTCTCTTTCGATGCCATCTTTGGATTTATATTTTTGGGCCTCTTTAATACCAATAGCATTATCTGCGTCTAGTTTTTCAATTATCTTATGAATAATTCCCAAATTTTCACAGTAATAATTTGAGGCATTGATCCACGTACCCCAACGTGTAATTACTGGTTCAGGTGCTAAATTTAAATTAGGTGCTTCATTTCTAAAAATTTGATTTGGGGTTCGGGGATTTGAAGCTTTTTGAAATGTTTTTTTAAAACTAGAAATTACTTTGTCAACAGTACTGAACTTCCCTCTTACTTTCTCTGCTACTCTATGAGCAGTGCACGTAATATGGACCATTTTACAATACAATACTTTTAAGGAATTAGCAGCTTTAACCATGTAGGAAGCAGCGTCAAATTTAAATAATAAAACATTATCGTGTTGAACACCAATAAGTCCTATAGACTTGTCAAACAATTTACTTATTGTCGAATAATTTGTTTTTTCTAAAACTTCCGAATATACCAAATATTATTTACTTGGAGAATTTACCTCGAGTGTACCAACAATCACATTAGCAACAAATCTTCCTTCAATATCTGTTGTTTTGTCAATACTAAACCATATTTTTTTTACTTAACAACTCAAATTTAATTTTATCCATAGTTTTTTCAAAAATTTCAATAATGTATCCAAGTCTTAATGTTGCTTCTGTTAGGACATCTTTTCCAGTGCACATTTTCAAAAAATTACGGAAACTTTCATTCGAAAGTTTATTCAAGGGTATGTTAGCCGACATTAATGCGAAACACAAATCTTTATTAAATGAATTTGTTGTGTTGGTGACTAACTGTTGTTTTTTTTTATCACATCCAATTACTGCACGTTTAACTGAATTCAAATGTTTTTCAGTTTTTAAATGTTGGGTGATATTGAATCGTTTTTCGTGGTTTATTTTAATATCACAAAATTTACACAATAATACACTCACGTCAATTGCGAATATGTTTGCACCAAATTCACGCACATAACTTCTAAGACGATTAGTGACGGACATTTTTTCTTTAGGCATTGTAAAATAATGATAAATTTGATGAAAAATTAATAAAAACAAAGTTAAAAATTAAGTTAGCGAGTAAAAACATGTTGCACAAGTAAACAACACCGATGTGTATACGTCTTCAGAAATCAGAAACGACTGTTTAATATAATATAGTGTTTCAAGCATAATGAAAATAATGTGATAATACTAGATCAACAATGAAATCATTTTATTATTAATAGAGACCTTATCAATGGAATTACCAAATACCTAATGACCAATGATCACATAATTTGTCATATAATATTCTTTTATGACAATTACCGAAGTATAAACTGATAAAT